CCATGAGGAGAGAGGAGCCAGGAGCCCGGCTGGGGACTGCAGGAACCTGGAACTGTTAAACTGGGCCAAGTACTGTAGCTAAGAGCTGGAGGAAATTTCCTTGCTGTGAGTGGACAGCCAGAAACACTGAAAACGGTGGTGGAGCAGCACTGAACAAAGAACTGTGGCCGAGAGCCAAAAGAGATAACAAGCAGCAGAGATGGCACATAGCCAGGCTGAGAGACGCAGAGATGTCCTGCAGGAGAGAGAACTGGCAACAGAGCAGAGAAAACTCAGTAAAGACTGTTTTGGGGTAAGACTGAATTACTTTCCCAAAACCCTTGGAGACCCCTCTTAGAAGGAGGGGGTGGACTTTCATTTGAAGGGAGTCCTGAAATGCAGCAGCACCGGAGAGAGGAGCTAAGAAACTCAGAGATGTTCTGAAGCTGGATCAGGATGGGCAGAAGGAACGCGGGAGAAGTGGCCTTGCCCCCCCACTGCTGCCATGTTGACAGCTGAGACAGAGCAAAGGAGCTCTGGTAGAACGGTTGGGGCAAAGACTGAACTGAGAGCTGCCCTAAACATTCTGACTCAGGAGGAGCTTGGATCCTCTGAGGAAGGGACTGTCAAAAGATGCCCTGCACTTTGTGATATGACGTGGTGAGGTGAGCCTTTGTCCCAGTTATCACAGTCCATGGGAAAGAGACCTTTGGCTGGAGCTGAAGGGACAAGGAGTGAGAGAAGACCCCTTGTGTTGTAATAGAGAGAGAGATTCCAGCTATGATAACTCCAGCTACGACTGCTGCTTTGAAGAGAAGAGACACTGCTGCCCTGAAAGTGGAAAGGATCTTTTCTTCTTCCCTTCTCAACTTTTATTGGAGGGAAAGGAGAGATTTGATCTAATGTAAAAATATTGCTTTACCATAGAAAAGATGGTTAGAATTGTGTATATAATGTATTATAGTATTTATTTGTGTAAGTAATAAACTGTAATATAATTCCCTTCCCCCATACTGAGTTGTGTTATGTCTGGAAAAACCCTCTCACACTGAAACAAACTGTGGGAGGGGGACTTGGACTTAGAAATTGGATTTTTGAGTGTCTCAAACCACCACACTTTCACAAAATACAGAGCTTATTCAGATATTTGGGTAAAAAGGCCTTTTCTGAAGTTCTGTTTTGTGTACTAATCGCCAAAGCTGGTATTATCTGGCATGTTTTGAAGGAGCCTAAGAGTTAGTTATCTTACTTAGATGCTTTTGAACTGATAAAAATTATATTTGTGGTTTTGTCTGAAAAAATTTCTCTTAAATTAAAATATGTGGGGAAAGAGGGAGAAAAGATTTCCTTGTTTTTATTTGGAAGGCAATTAAAGCTACAAGAAAGGAGTCAAAACTGATCAATAAAACAGCTTCATAACAGGTTGATGAATTTCTCCTTTGCTTTTTGTTAATTTATCATTATTATAAAAATCATTAGTGAATAAAAATCAGAAAAAACAAGTTGATAAAGGTAAATATTTTTCTTCATTTCTAAAGCAAGATTGCTTATGAAAGTTCTAGTAATACACCATACTCTAAATGCTTTCCATAATTGCTTTTTTCTCAGAAGTCAACATATTCAAGGTCATCAGCCTTTTCTCAAATGCAAGTAAACATCTGTATTATTATGTTATTTGCATGAAGGCTTATAGATACAATTAGACCTTTGTCATTATTTCTTTGCTAATTGTCTTGTTGACAAAGAAACACAGGAGACAAAACTGGCTAGTAAATGCTCTTTCATGAGCATCCAGATGTTTTAAATTCTGTAGTGTAGATTTTTTCATTGTTAAAACCGACATTTTTAACAGACATATAATGCAGTTGACTCAAAGAAGCAAAATTCCTGTTCTAACAGGCAGACTTCCAAAGTGAAAAGAACTATAGGTCACGAACTATAAATATGGGAGCACCTGCCATAATAGCTTTTTTCTGTCACACAAAGTGGGGGAGACAAAGTCTCTTGAAATGTGTGTGCTGGGATTATATGGTGGGAATCAGGATACATTGGCTTTGCTTTTGGTTTTACCATAGATCTTTTCTGATCTTGCGTAAGCACAAAATGTCTCATCTCTTTCTTGTCTGCGCCCATCACAAAATGAAATATGATAATAACAACCTTGCTGTGAGAGTTTTCTAATCTTGTTTGTTTGTTTTTCAATACTGCCTCCTCATGGAAGCAGGGCCAATGGGATGACCCTCACTGTGTGCATATTCCACCTTTTTGAAATCTGTTTCAGCTAAGTTTACAAAGAAATATCAATCTCAGATCTATACCGTTTGTACATGTATGGTCTCCAACAAGGGTTGCATCAGAGCTGTTCTGCATGTGATCTGGATTGTTGTGCATGTACAAGGGGACTGAAGCATCCCAAGCTCTTTACTATACTGTACTTTAAAATTTCATTTGGCATGCAAAAACTGTGCCATGTCCTGCACTGTTGGTCTGTGCATGTAGAGCTGTCGGTGCAACCTCTGGTGTTGCAAGTTTAGTTTTGACTGAGGGAAGGGCAGAAGAGTGATCTTGCATCTTGTCAGAGTATCCATTAAAAAATAAACTTCACTTGGAGGAAATTCCTGCAAGCTTGGAGTCAATCAATCGTTACTCTCTTATCTCTTGGAAGTTGGACTACATTAGTCCTGGTGCTCTCAGAACTATCATCAAATTTTTAACACTGTCCTAAATGCTGAAGCATTAAACTTAACGTGTTTACATAGTTAGATATTATTTGTGAGAAGAATTTCTAGATGTAGTGGGTCTGTTTTTTCTTCCTTTCCTCCCTTTCTTTTGTAGAAGAAAAAAAAATAGGGATCCTAGAATTTGGTGTGAAAATGGTGTTGTAGTGCAACAGCAGCAAAGATCCAGGTATGTGTGTATAGGGACAAAAACAAAGGATGTGGAAACGTAGACAAAGCATCTGGTAGGTAGAACTAATTGTCAGTTTTCAGGCTAGAGCCTCCAGAGATCCCAGGGAAAACCTTAAATGTGTTGCTCTGAAATTGTTTACTCTTGCTGCGATGCTGAGACGCTCAGTGTCCCACAGGCATCCAATCCTACCTTTGGAGAACAGTGAGAACCCAGAGACTGTCACTGAGACTCTTGCCATGAGCAACTGTGGAGCACAGGCTGATGTGCTGAGTTCTCTTGTGGTCCAGAAGTAACCACAGGGGATTGAAGAGAGCCAGCAGTCTAAACACTATTTAAAATGAAATCTCTACATTCAGTTATTTCCAGCTTCACATTTTAAGTGTTGCTGAATAGTCATGTAGGTCTGTCGCTAAGACTTTGAACTTTCTTTTGAGAGGTTCCAACTCCCTCTGTTGGTTTTTAAAGAATGCAGAAATTTGGGTGAATTCAGTGCCCTGATATACTCACCATTTGAGATTTTTGCTGAAGTCTCTGTTCAGGTTGCAAGTGACAATGAATTTAAGACCCTTATTTTAATTTAGTGGTCCCTTTTTTTTAAAGTCCAAATAGAACATTTAAGGCATGATCTCATGGTGTACCAGGAGACCAGCCCTCCCCAGACCTTTCTGCATTGCAGTCAGAAGTTCTCTTTGCAATTCAAAGGGTACAAGTCATAGAGAATTTACTCAGGACCATGGTAACTTGTTTTGTTGGCTAATTATCCTCATGGCTACAACATTGGTGGCACACTTGTCCCTAATTTGTCTAACTTGCAGATCTCATTAGGCTTTTTTGCTCTTGGTAATCAAAGAGGTGGAAAAGGTTCTGTACAGAAGTTTGCTTTTGATATCCATCATTCAATACACTGATATGAATTATATGGATTACACTGATTGTCTCCCATATAGAGCTGGATTTTGATTACAAAAATATCTGTACTGTTTTAAAGTCGTTGTAAAAGGGATGAGAAATATTCTAGCATAATCTGGCTCATTACGGAAAAGGTATCACCTAGTTTAAGAAATTCTAAATTTGTTGTCATAACCATAAAGCAAGTTTTGCTTTTATTTTTGGTCTTTTGTAGCCCTGAAATATCATGAATGGATTATTTCTTTTCCCTTTCTCCCATCCCCTGCTTTCCCAATCCTTGTAAGTTGCATATTTACACTCTGAGTGAGAGAACACTTTAGTGACCCGAGATTCTGCTGACCTGTAGGATTTTTCCAGTAATTAGATCCATGTTTCGCTCTATGGGATATTCAATTAAAAATGAGAGGGGTTTATTATTATTATTACCTGCTGAAACCCCATGTTATGTTCTTGAGTGTGTATGTGACAGCATTGTAATGAGGAAACTTACTCTACTTAATTCCATCTTTATTCAAATATTATGGGATCAAAGATTCAACTTGAATGTTAGCCTAGCCCATCTGTCCTCATGTAGATGTAAAAGAAAGAGGGGAGAGACATAGAAGCTACTCATGTGAATGAACAAGACTAATTTCACTGTGCATCTGTGTGTGAACTTGGGGAAGAAATGTTCAGGTTTTGTGATCACAGTGCAGCATGTGACTCTTGTGAAGTGCGGGACACACTTTTACGTGTTGCAAAAGGCCAGGTGGCATGTCTCTGTGTGTCAGTTCTACACAGAAATAGTGAAGTTTTAACTTCTACATTACATACCTGTTTTGTGGAAAAACTTTACTGAACACACCACCTGGGTTGTCCTCTAAAGTCTGCCAGGGCATTGCTGAACTTTTCCAGTGGCTTTTGCAATAAGTCATTACCCTCTAACTGCAGTGTAGACTACAAATTTCATTAATTGAAAGGAAAATATTTTTCAGCTTCTGAAGTATTCAATGTCTTAACAACAGCTCTCAATCAGTTGCTGTCCCGCCAGACTGTCATTCTGGAGGTTAAATTTCAGTCTCACAAGGACTCAAACACAACTGTGCTCTGACTCCAGTCTCTGTCCACTAAGCAGAAACAAACACCACTTGGAGATAGCACAAGTTGACATATGTGTTGCTCATACAATGACCTCTGTGTTTTGTTTTTTGCTTTTTTTTTAGATAATTGTGATGATGCGTTGATATCTCCCTTACCTTCAACAGCCCTTACCAGTTCCTCTGAGCTCTCCAGTACCCACAGTCCCAGCTTTGCAAAGCTCAACAGGCGAGATGGTAAGGTTGCAGTATGAAATGCCTAAACTATTCTTTTTAAGCACATTTGCAAAGAGTTACTTTTTATGTTGTATGTGTGCAGTACACTAAGAGACAAATTGAATAGAGCTATTAATTTATGCTTCTGAGAGTGAGCTATGTAGGAGCTATTTCTTCCTTTATTATAGAAAGCTTCTATTAAATTCAAAGCTCTCTACTTCTCTTGTAGAGACATCCTTAAGGAAGTTCAGATAATCCTTCTGCTTTTGATGAGTTTCCATAATTTTAAGAGCCTGAAGGTCGTTAGTTTAGAGGCCCTACTCTAAAATATAGGTGTTAAAGATATAGTGACTAGATATAAAGTGTGGAATTCAATGATGACACAACTGTAAAAATAGTGAATATGATAAAAACTTTGCAGATATTTGCAATGAACAATGTTTGAGGGCCAGATAATGAGTTCACACACAAGGAGGAACTATTAGGATGAAACTTGGTACCAGAAAAGAGAAATTGGCAGTATCTAGGGCATCATTTGACATCCCACTGCAAATTTGGGTTATTGGCTCCCATTTTATTCCCAAGTTAGAACCTCTAAAGGTTGAAAGGCCTGTATTACCATATTTCATGTGATTTTAAATTTAAGAATCATTAGAAAGTATACTCCTAGAAAAAAAGAATTTAATTGAAAATAAATGAAAATTTCCCTTCTTAAACATCTCTGAAATGTCTGTTTTAATCAAACACTATTGGATAAATCTATAGAAAGACAGTGAAGCGCTTTCTCTTAGATGCTTATCAGTAATGAAAAGGAGTTGCTAGGTCATTAGAGAAGTGTTAGATGGGAGTTAATATATCATATACATACTCTTGAACTAGAGTTTTTCAGCAAGTAAAAAGACATATTGTAGTTGCTCAACAGAAGAAAGTTGTAAACACTGAACATGATGTTTGAATTTTCCCTGCCTTTGTCTCCAGCTGCTGGCCGGGATGGTGAATAGATATGCAAGATTGTGCAAATGGCTCTAAAGACTAATTTTATCTGCAGAAATAAGGAAGAGATTCAAAGTCAATATTATTTCTGGTTGTACTGTATTTTAAAGTGATATTAATTATATCTAAAATTATGACAATGATTTCAATTTAACGTCAGAAATTGAACTAGGTTGTATATAGCTACCATACAGTAGTTTTGTCATGTGGTGAGGGGTAAGGTATTCTAGTTTTTTAGAGATTTGGTATTGCATGTTATCCTTTAGCGCTAATCATGGGAACAGGAAGACAGAGTATTGAAACCAAACCCTAAGGGAGTAGTTTCAGCAACGTTTATTTCATGTTTTGAAGGCTTACATGGTAGCTGAGAAGCTGAAGCCAACTCAGGGACCTAGAAGCTAAATTCTACCTTGCTTAATTCTTTTGTTGCATGGGCTTTTGCAGGAATGTGCAGATATAGTGGCAGAAAAGTTCATGTGGCTACTTATTATGGCTTAACCCCCAACAACAATGTAACCCCACATAGCCACTCACTCCAGCGTGGCCTTACCCACAGTCCTTTCAGAAGTAAACTTGCTCCTGCCTTACCCACAGCTGCAGTTTCTTCAGGCATGTACCTGCTCTGTCAGGGGCTTGACCATGGCCACGTGCTTTGACATACTTCAGTGTGACCTCATGCATAGCCATAGATGCTTCAAGGTGTATTTTCTCGAGTGTGGACTTATCCTGGGGCCTCAATCCCTTCCAAAGGTGCACCAGCTGTGTACAGAGGCAACAATGGCCACAGGCACTTTGAGATGTACCTGCTCTGGCATGGGCTGAGCCCACAGACACTTCGAGGTGTCCTTTTGCTACGTGGACTCATCTACAGGTCACAGCCCCTTCAACTGGAGTTCACACTGGAGTTCAAGCCTGTCCAGTAGAGTAGCACAGGAGCAGCAGCAATGCCCTGGCCATTTGCCAGCCCAGGCACATGGCCATTGCTGTTATCAAACTATTCCCAGCACAGCAGAGTTGGATGATAAGCAGTACAGCAAGCAGCGAAAGCAGAAAGTAGCTACTAATGAGCACTAGACTCTAATAAACAGTAAGGGAAGCAAGCCCCATGGCAAACACAGAAGCCTGCTGATTAATAGCTAAACAGCAGTAACAGCTATAAATTCCATCTAGCACATTCCAATCAAATCTGTAATTATCTCAAACCCTTTGAGACCCACGTGGGGCACATGTCATGGCTCAATCCCAGAAACTCAGCTCCACACAGCCACTCTACTCGCTCCCCCCTGGTGGGATGGGGAAAAGAATCAGAAAAGTAAAAGTTATAAAAGTTGTGCATTGAGACAAAGACATTTTAAAAAGTAAAGCAAAAGCCTTATGTGCAAGCAAAACAAAACAAGGAATTCATTTACCACTTCCCATGGGCAGGCAGGTGTTCAGTCATTTCCAGGACAGACGGGCTCCATCAGGTGTAATGGTGACTTGGGAAGACAAACACCATCACTCAGAACATTCCCTCCTTCCTCCTTTTCCCCCCAGCTTTATATGGGAAATATATGATGCCACATTGGAAGGGATATTCCTGTGGTCAGCTGGGGTCAGATATCCCAGCTGTGTCCCCTCACAACTTCTTCTGCCCACCCCAGCATCCTCACTGGTGGGTTGGGATGAGAAGCAGAAATGGCCTTGACCTATGTGTAAGCACAGCAGTAACAAAATAAAACTCAGCAATAACAACAATATCTCTGTATAATCAACACTGTTTTCAGCACGATCCCAAGGAAAAGCCCCATATCAGCTACTTGAAGAAAACTAAGTCACTTGTGCTAGAACCAGCACAATTTTTCATCTTGGGTTGGAGCAGCAAGCAGTACTAGATGGTGGCTGAAGAAACTTTCTTTGACTGTCACTTGAATGCAAACAGTAGATACCTTTACAAGAAATAATATCCACTAACTGGGCTATGGCTTTCTGATAGTGTTGGAGTGTTTTGATGAGTTGGTTTAGCTTTGGAATTGATAAGACAGTGCTGCAAGGAGCAGTGCCTCCAGGTAGAAACCCAGATCAATATGTTTGTTAATGTAAATATGAATACAATAAGTGAAGATGAATTTATAAAACTCAACTCAGACCTTTATCAATACAAAGTTCTAATTTATCAAATTAATTCAGTAAAAGATAACAGTAACTAAAAGGCTGTTGTTTAAAAAAGGCCTGTGGTAGTGGAATGTGCTGTTTAAAAAAACAAACACACAAACTACCCATGAGTAAAGCTTAGTGTGAACAACTGAAAGTAGTCAATTAAAACGCTGATAAATCTGTACTTGTAATAGTAAAGCAGCTAATATAACTCTGATAAATGTGATTCTAAGTTATGAAATATATTATTTATCCGTGAGAGGGATTTATCAACTTTTTTGCTTACAGTAAATAAATAATAAAAAATAATAAGAAAATTGCTATAATACCACTGTATCACCCAAGATTTTTAAGTTCGTATTAGCTCTTAGCCTGAATAGTCAGTATAAGCAATTATGTATGAGAATATAAAACATATATAATGTCAAAAAGAATTTGTTTTGTGGCCAGGAAGTGTTTGATCTGGGCATTAAAGTAAAATTCTGCAGCAGGGAAGCACTTAGTTACAGCAGGAAGTTCAGGAGTTTTAGTGCAATTTAAAGCCGGTTGAGCTGTTTGCAAGGCACTGTAGGGTGGAAATAATAATTCCTTTTGCTTTTTATTAATGAACAACAAATAAGCATGGGCATCCTGAGCGGCCCTGGGGAACAGCAAGAAGCACTGACTGTGTAACACTGGGCTTAAATGCAATTTTTGAAACAACTATGACAAAATGTACAAATAGCCTGAAAAAGAAAAAAAAGTATTTGATCATATTTCTTGGAATCATGTGTGTCTCCAGCTGAGAAACCATCAGATCTTTGCTCTCCTCATATTTCCAGCATTTTGGTTTGTTACCATGGAGAATATGAGCAATATATCAGATTCCTGCTGTACTGTTTCTTCACTGGGACATTTTCTCCATACCATGTTGAATGTCTCCTTTGAAATGATCCATAGAAAATGTGAAATGTGTGAACTATGAGGAATGATGTTGTAGCACAATGTGCAGAATCTTGTCAATGCAGGTGGGAATCTGATGGGCAGAAGGAGAAATTTTATGTCCCTCAGACATGTTGTAAAATGTCAAACGTGGACTTTATCGAGTATCCTGTCTCTTTTGTTTTCATGTGAGAGGCAGTGTGACATCTTCATATATTAGTACTTTCCAGATTACCTAAAACCAATGTTTAGATCTGGTGGGCATAATTAAAGCCAAATTTTGTCTGGTTTGTGTTTATGCCACACTTACTAAAAGTTGTATGGTTCTCTTCAATTTCCTTGTGCCCAACTGCAGGAAAAGGATATCAGGGCTATGCTTGTGTCTGTTCAAAGGGGTTGATGTCCTGTAAATAGTGTCTCCAATAACCCATGTTTTTGCATATTAGAACTTTCTTGTCCTTTGTCTTGGGTCTGCACTTGCAAACGATCCCCAGGACAAGCTTCACTAGTGGGTTGAGGAGCAAATGGCTGCAAATAGTTGCTATGCTTTGGATGCTCTTTTTTGCTACTTATTGGAAAAAGTATGGGATGGGGTATTTATATACTGTAAGGAATGATGTGCGTAAAAGAAATGTGGAGACACAGATTGTGGCAGTATCCAGTATCCTTTGTGCCACCTGCTCTGTGTAACAGAGCAAATATGGACGAAAATATAGTTATTGATTTTTTGCACTCACAGCTGTATTTGGTGAGGATTTGGGATAACCACAAAAGCAAGCAGAAGCTACATGTTTGCTTTATTAACAGAAGTGAGAGAGGCCCAGTGGGAAAAGCTTTAGTTCTACCCTCAGTCATGCAGCCAATGCAGCTCTGCTGTTGCAGGGATTTTAGCTGCCATTCTTACAACGGTAGAATTACTGTCCATCTGTGGAAATGGTAATGATGGAAGACTTGGGAGAGGAAAATACAGTGGGCTTTTTTCTCCATTGGAAAAGATATATGAAGCAGCTACTCTTCTGTAAAGGCATGGTTTGTAACTCTCTTGCAAGACCAGCTCTGAAGAGGTGATGCTACAAGCAGGTGTCGGTGCTGTGTCGTGCAGTGCTTACATCTAAAGAGTGACATTTCCAGGAGACAAATCTGCTCATATAAAGAGGTATGCAGTTCAGGGAAACCATATAATCTGTGATTTTAGAGCTCAAGCTCACCACAGATCTCCCAAATTTCCATTCAGTGTGTATCATTTGTTTGACTTCGAAATTATAAGCCAGAGACGCTGTGCTCAAACTGGAAAATAGCAGTGCATAGTAAAGCCAAACACTTTTGTGGAAAGCATATCACATTCCTGCCACTTCTTGCAGCAAAAGGGGCAGAGCATAAAGTACATAGAGTAGATATTTAGTTATGATATTTGATATCCTACTGGAAAGCACCTGTGCTAATAAGCTTGGCTTAAGAATTTATGTATAAACCCGAACAGAGAAAGCAAAGCTTTTTATTTTTTTAAATGGGAAACTCATCAAATAAGTTATTTATTATAAGTGTTTTTCTCAATCTGGTTGTTGCTGTTTATGGTATAGAAAGACAATAAAGGAAAGATAAAAACACCCAGATTTCTTTTAATATTTATGAAAACATCTAGGATAGGCTCTTTGGAGCCTTGAAGGAAACAACTTTGTTATCACAACTCTTGAACCAAATTTTTATATCAGGTCAGTTCCTGGAATAAAACTAAAAAGCAGCAACTATTGTTTTCAGAGTCTATTTCAGATACTCGATATTACAAACCAAAGGAATTTTGCCTTTGGATTGTATGTACATTATTCACAATTTGGTGTAGGAGAAATCTGCAGTTTGTTGCCTTCGAATACAATTACAAATTTTGTGTCTTAAAGGTAGACAGAAGTATTCTTTATATGACACTTTAAAAAAAAGAAAAAAGATGGTTGGAGAGGAAACATTATTAGGACTTCTAATAGGAAGTATTATAGTCTTATATAAGCTATATCTAGGTTTAGTGGTAAAAGGAACTATGAAGTAGGCAGAGAAATATTGAGTGATGAAGTTCCTAATATTCTCATTAGGTCTTTCATGGCATGCTCATGGGAGAGCATATTCTATTTAAGGCAGGTAAAATAATCACAATGATGACAACTTCTATTGTGATTGAAAAGGGTAAGATAAATCATAGGACTAACAAACAGTACTCATTGGTTTGGTTGCAAACTATTTTCCCTCGAGAGTTCTTGTAGAGGAATGAAGACTGAGTCATCTGGGGGAGCAGGCACAATACTCAATTTGAGCTGTGGAATAGATATGCTTCTGTTTCAGGAATTAGGATAAATCCTATATTAATGTATTGTAAATAATGAAAATTCTAACATTTATTCTTAGACAAAGAAATTTCAGTTGTGAGTAGGAAAGTACAATGCATTCTAGGAGAACAAAGACATTTTTTTAAAGTGCAAAGTTATTGAAATTGTGTTCTTTGTTGTAAACCACATTTATTAATATTTCAACTCTGTTCACTTCAATGAACTCTTCAAGGAGCAACTTTGAGACAGATCAGTTAATAAGATTAAAATATTAAGATAAATCCAGGTATTTATAATCACTGTTTAGAGATGCATTTTGTTTGGAATGCTTATTTGCAATCATTCCTGTAGTTTATATGAGGAATTGTTAGTCCTTTACTATCAACTCCGTATTTCCCCCTTTCCTTCTCAATGTGATTGTGTTCAGTGTAGTCACACATAAGTGCTTTTGTAAACTTCATTAATAATGACAAAACAAAAAGAAGATGGGTTGCAGAGGCAGCTTCAGAATTTGCTGCCTTGGAACCTTTGTTGATGGCTTCTGTGTTCTTCACAGCTGCACTGCTCGCTTATTTGTAAGCCTGAAGTGAACACTGGGCGTATACGGAGAATAAATGTCTGTAAGTAGAAACAAGCTGAAGGAAAATAAACATAGCCTATAATTTAAGGGTGTAAAAGAAAGCAAGAGAACATAAAATAATATATTCCAGTCTGGAATGATTTGCCTTTTAACCGTAAGCCCTTATAGTGAACAAAGTGGTAAAACACAAGCAGTGGTTGCAGTTCTGTTTCATTGGCTTGGTGTTACTGCAGGCCTGTTTAACCTCTAAAAGAATTGAAGCAATAGCACATATGTTTACTTTTAAAGGACAAACATGAATTACAAGCTTAGGTAAGAGAGACCACTTTCCAGTGTGAAGGCACTTTAAGTTGTTGAATCAAATGGTCTCTAGATTGAGCCTTAGTAGGGCTCAAATAAAGATAACTAACATTTTTGCATTTCTTTCAAAACATAGCAAAAAAAAATGTTAAAACAAACTGAAAGTTACAAGTCTGGATTCCCAAAATTGCAATGAGGGAATAGATATAATTTTTTTTTTTTTGTGACAGGGGATGTGCCAACCTCACTGATGTTTGTCCAACTGCAAAAGAATAAATTTCCTTAAAATTTATTAGAAATTTGAAATTCCTTATGAAATATAGGTTAAAGGAGAAAACCTGAAGGAAGCACATCTCATGTAGCATATTCCCTAATACAAAAATATGAACAAACAGTTGCATGTTCAAGAATTAGAGTCCTCTGTGATGAGTTGAAATAATTATGTGGTTCTACATAATTTCTTGTACTGTCATTGTCATCTAAATTCTTTTCATCTAATCTCTTCCAGGAGCTGGTGGCTGGTCCCCTCTGGAGTCAAATGAACAGCAGTGGCTGCAAGTTGATCTTGGGGACAGAGTGGAGATTGTCACGGTCGCTACACAGGGCCGGTATGGGAGCTCAGACTGGGTAACCAGTTACACGGTGATGTTCAGTGACACCGGACGCAACTGGAAACAGTACAGACAAGATGACATCATCTGGGTAGGTCTGAACTGTGAATGCCTTTGGCCCCCGACCTTTCTGGTTCAGGCTCATTTTGGCATGTGGAGAAACAGCTTCAGATTCTCATCAGTGGAGTGCTGCAGTAGTGAGAGAGCCAACCCAAGTGACTCCACAGAGTGTTTTGATGTAAATGGGTTATGTCACTGACTGACTGTGTAATACAAGTTTAGGCCCTCAGGACTACATTGTTTTTCAGACTATGAGGATGCTCAGGGCACTCAAAATGACCTACATGCTTCTGTGCCTGGTTGGCTTTGATTCAGGCACAAGAGGGTAAATGGGGCTAATCACCTGTGTGCTTTCTCCAGGAAATATGGAAATTAATTCTATGTCTTATACATGTTTGGCCAGAACAACAGAGCTCATGCTGGGGGAGATGGGTGGTAAATTTCTCCTCAGCTGGACGAGTCAAGGGATGATTTAGCATATACACTAAAAGTGCTCAAGGCTTTGCCTAGTATTTTAATGCAGACTTGATGCTTGCTGTGTCACGAGTTCAGTGCGTAGCCATGCCAGATGCTGTCAGCAGGAGTGCATGGGGTAGCAGTGCCTCCGCAGGTTTGGATGGAAAAGTTTACAAACCTTCCATTTGTACGGAACATGGCAATTGTTAGTGAGTTGGTAAAAAATGGTAGCATCGTTTCTGTGCTATGTTCTGTGGTTCTGAGAGTAACAACCCTGGTGGCATGGCAGTATGTGGTGGGAAAAGAAACAGATTCTTCATGAAAATAGAAGGGAGCATGTGAAGAGTGACCAAGTAGACTTATGTTTTTTTCTTTGATTTACACTTTGGTTAAATGCTATGTCACAAAAGCAGATTTTGCTTCCAGAACAAAGTGACTGCGAATGATGAGAGCTGTGGTGCGGTAGGAAAACAAGAGAAGGGCTGCTTAATTTTTCCCTGAGCATGTTGCAGGCAATGGGGATGCATGCACAGGGAGATGAACTTCTGAGGTTTTAAAATCCATTGTATTGTCACTGTCCTTGGTTTATCATGGTTTGATTTACGGATTGTGAAAATCCTTCTTCCTTTAGAAAGGCAACTTTGGCCCTAAGATAGTCATAAAGTTGTCAAGCGCTTCACCTATCACTTAAAATGTTTTGTTAGGCTGTCTTTGCTCCAGATACTTATACTTTTTTTAATATATTTTAAACAAGTGGAATTTAATTTTGGACTGAACATAGTAATCATTTAATCTGTCTCTTTACTTCCACCCTTGGGAATCAGAAATCCATAACTGAGATATTTTTACAGATTTGGTGTCAGTTAAGTGCTTCTTTGCCTGAAAGTACTATGTGGCTTGTTAAAATTTCATAATAAGACAAATTAATTTTTTATTACATGTCAAAATTTTCAGTCCTTTCTGGAAGCCCTTGTACTTTTATTGTCTTTTGTAATTTTTTTCTTCTTAAAGAGAAACTTGAAAAGACAACATATAGAATTTACTAAAGCGAATCTTCATGTCCTAAGGATCCAATTTATGAGTTTCTGATCTGACATCTAATATTGCACACGAGAGTAAGAACAAACCTAGCAGGCATTTAATGGTAAATTAGCATTTAGGAACATCTTGAACTCTTTTGTTTTACTAGAGTGATCAGCCATGAAGTTGATTCAAGGCAGATCCTGACATGAGTTCTAAAGCTTCAGCAGATCTGGAAGCTTGATCTCTGGCGAGGTAATTTTTGTACATATTTCTAAAGGAAAACACCATAGGCTACAGGGGTTAATTTTCAATATAAATGGGGAAAAATGAAATAGAATTTGTATGTGGAAAAGGTAACTCTAAGAAAGGATTTGGATAATTTTCCCCTCACATTAGTTTCTAGGAGTCACTCTGACCATGCAAGCCAGTAACTTAATTCCAGTCCAAATGAACCATTTGCTCCATGTTCCCAGGGGTCTTGAAGGGTTTGTTAGGATGCATTGCCAAACTTTACTGGTGGAAATATCTGATAATGAAAATCCAAAGTGGGCTCATTTAACTTTTCATTAGACACTTCAGTCCACCTAAACTGGCAAGTCTCATTAACACTTAGGAGCTTGTATGCCTGCCCATGGAATTAATGAAGATCAAGAATTCCTTCTGTTCAATTTTTATTCTAACTAAAGACAAAATTGATTTTATTTTTTTTTTTCCCTGACACTTTTGGATTTGCTTCACTGAATTAAATTAGATCTAGAGAGCCATTCAGAGCACAATGAAGGAAACCAAAGAGACTTTCGGAAGCATGTATAGAATTATAATCTCAAATTTTGCAATGTTTCTGTTTTATTGGCAGTTATCCTTTCTGTATGCTTTTTTCAAACTAAGAAGAAACATAGAAGTGTGCTGTCCAGCTGAATGTTGGAGGTTTTTCCAAACCCTTGGATGAAATGAGGACAAGCCCAAATTACCAAGTCTGTTTCCCGCAAAACCCCCAAACACAGTCCTATACCAGCTACTCTGAAAAAAATTATACAGCTAAACTTAGCACATTAATCCCTTTCTGCTTTTTGGGTGGGTGGGGTGGTCTGTCACAGCAGGATTTAAGTTAGTAGTTTCTTATGTCTGGGCAAGGTGGCAAATTACCAGATTACCTTACATCTACAGGGAGTGGAGGGGTTAAAATCTAGGTTATTGTGGAAAATTTGCCACTTCAGAAATCTCAGGTGGGAAACACATCCTCCCTGCAGGCTTTAATTTTGAAACCTTTTTCTCTTTCGTTAGGATAGGATTTTTGTACTCTCTATGTCCCTCAGGACTTTAAACTCTTCAAACTTTCCTTTTTAAATTTTTGTGTATAACTAAAGGGGCTAGAAGTTTACCTACTTTATTGCCTTTTTTGTTGCAAAAATCTGTGCTGTTCCTAACTTGAGTGGTGGTCAACACTGACTCATAGCTCAGATGGGGCTGTGAAATCTAAATCATTACTACGTGGAAATCATTATATGACATCTACTCTGTCAGTATTAAGTATCAATGTGCACTGGACCTGTCAGGTTCACTGTTATATCTTCTACTTTAGTAAAGCTAACTGGAAACTGTGCTTTGCTATATGGATACTAGTGAATGTCTCACACCAATTGCTCACTGGTGACCATTTGTCATTCACTTGTAGCTGTTGAAAGGGGAGATTATGTATCAGTATAAGATAGTCTGATTTTGTCTGTCTTTTGAAGGCAGTATAGCTATGTAGAGAAACACTTGACAGAGTAACAATATACTGAGTTGCTGAAAAGAAGGGTGTAGGAACTGCCTGCATTTCAGGTAGAAATTTGAGGTTTCGCTTTGTTTTAATCTGTTTGCATTTCCAGCAAAGGAAAACAGGGTCTTGAAATGTCTTTTCCACTATGTCTGTTAAATTAAAACTCACAGAAATCCTTAATCTTTGCTCAACCCAAGTCAGATTTGATCTGTACTTTTCTTCCAGTCCATTTGTATGACCCAGAGAGAAAGTCAGGGCATATTCCCAGTTGGGAGAACTGCAGTGTCTCTTGAAGCAGGATGCACTGGCCCAGCCTTTCCCCACTACATGTCATGGACCATTGGCTACACTTGGTGGAGACAGCAGGAAGGCAGTAGTGCCTTTCATAATCCCCAAGGACCTCTGCCCGAATGAAATTTTTCCAAATCATGTCTTCACGAATGTCTGAGGCTCCATATTGCAAGTGGTACTTCTGAGCAGTTTACAGTCACATGGGTTGTAGAGAAGCAAGATTCAGGATGGGAACAGTTCCAGGCATGGAGAGAAGCATACAGCAAATGGCAGGACTTTCATATGGACTTTACTGTTATTATGTGGTTTCACTGTATCCATGCTACACAGTGCACAACTGCACATGCCCAGGCTTCCTCCTCCCCCTTTTGCCTGTGCCCTGTTCTGATTTGCTGCCCCGTTTGTCTGTCTGATAGCCCACCCGATGTTCTGCCCCTTACCCTGGCGGGAGGTTTTAAGAATCAGACAGACGCCTGAATAAAGAAGTCTACTTGCACCAGTCCTCGTGTCCTGTCCCCTCTTCCCTATCGGACTGCGACAACAATGGGTATAGGTTTTGTCCACCCACATGTCATAGGTGTCCTTCAGTGCATCTGAGACTGGGGTACATAAATTCTTTACTGGGCTGCTGATAAGAGAGACACTTGCACTCCAGCATATATGACATATCACTAGTAAAAATCCCTTTCTCTTTACAGAGATTACAAGGCTTATTATCCTCCTCTCATGGCATGCATACAGCTCCCATACACTTCACCATTAATGAGTGCTGCATAGACAGATCGCGAGGAGAATCAGAAAACCTCTTAAGTTTTCACTCAGCCTGTGTTTATGATGTTAGTAAATTCTGCAGCTGGAGTTGAAGACAAGACAGATTAGCCATTTAAAACCAATTTTCCAACCCCATTTGTATTTAAATAATCTTGTTACAAAAGGACTCCGTGGTTCAGAGCAAACTAGACTTATAATTATATTTTCAATATGGATAAATCAGCTATGTGTGGACACACTAGCTATTGATTGGGAGACATAAAACATAAATCTTATGGCTTGTAACAAGTAAATGATTTTTCAGTGTTTTTAAGTGTTGAATAATTCAGAATTTTCTTTACCTGCATACACATCGCAGCTTGAGTCAGTCCAAATTGTGTATTTTACTGGGGAAGAAGTGTAGACTGTGATACAATGCTATTTCATTTTAGATAGCAATTTTTATGCTATCTGTATTGAAAAATACTCTACCAAGCTGAAAAATGCAATTATGCAGGAAGGCACAAAGGAGAGGAGATGAAACAAGCATAGATGTATGCAACAAAAGGAGAAAAGAGTTGTTATTTATACAAAGTTTTGAAAGGAGAAGGAGAATTTGTGGAATTGCAGATAAAGGGAGACTGATCTAACTGTGGCAGAGAAGGCTTTTATATTAGAACAATGAATCTGTGCAGAAAGGCAATGAAGGGGGAAAATGGCGTAGATAGCATGGACAGTTCATACTGTGT